TGCACATCTTGTATACACTCTTCATCTCTCCCCACCCTGAAAAACCCTTCTTACCCTGCTCCTCCTCAGCCTCCCTTAGTGACGGCACAGCCATACCCTCAATGTCTTAGTCAGGACCCTATGCATCATCCCTAATACAGGCCTCTCCTGCACTACCCCTACCCAATCCATCCCCCAGCCAGTGGACGCTGATCTGCCTCCCAGTAGCTCTCCAAGTTGCTGGTGGCTCTTTAACCGCACCCCACTGCCACCAGCACCTCTTACCTGGGTTGCTTCAACCAACCTGTGGGTGATCTTGTCTTTCTCCACTCCAGCCTCCTCCACCTGCTCCTCTACAGAAGAGTGCCTCCAACTCTAAAGCCCATACAAATCACCCAGGGACTTTGTTAAAATGCAGAGCCTGTGATTAAGGAGATCAGGGTCTGAGTTTCTGCATTTCCAACAAGCTGCCAGGTGAGGCCAATGTTGGTGGTCCATGGACCACACTTTGAGTAACCAGATGTCATTTTTAAAATTTAAACCTTAATATGTCATCCCTTCCTCAAAATTCTTCAGTAGCTCCCTGTTGTTTACAAGGCCTTATGCCATCAGTTACCTGCCTTCTTGTCCAATTCATTGTTCTACATTTCCTCCATGTTCACTGAAGTGTTTGTAGATCCTCAAATTGCTGCCCTCTTTCATGTGCCTATGCTGTACCTTCTGTCTGGAGTGCACTCCTGCCTCCCAGCTGACTTCCCTTAGTGAATTCCCATTAGACTGTTAGGCTTCCCCCAGTCATCACCTCCTCCAGAAAACCTTTCCAGATCCCATCCATTCCCAGACATAGCACAGTGCTGGACAGGCACAATGGCATTGAGCTGGTTAAACGACACCCAAAGGAGCACTCTATGGACCTGTTTCTCACAACCCACCCTGCCTTGGGAGGCACATGCCTGTTTGCCTGCCCATCTCCCCACCTAGACCTAAGGGGACAGAGCCTGGGAAATGAAAGTGCACAGCTGTTTGCTGGATGAAGGATGGGATGCAGAGGACCCGCCTGTCCTCTCTTGGCAGCTCCTCCAGTCTTCCCTCAGATGACAGCTGTGTCTCCCAATTGTTTCTATAGGATGCTCAGGAGAATCTCAATTCTCTGCATGCACCCACTTCCTGCATCCACCTGGCTTACTTCTTTGGTCTTAATATCAACACATCTTCTACTTGCTTTTGTTTGGGGTGGAATTGCTGAGGATGCTGAGTCTGCAGCTCCTGCGGCACTGGGGTTCCTGCCACCCTGTGCACCATTCATTAGACGGGTCTTCTTGAGTGAGGGCCCCACCATCTCCCCCTGAAATTGGATTCTCTGCACCAGCTTCTTGTTCCACAGCTTGCTAATGTCTTTGATCAGAGCCCATTGGAAGCTGAGGAGGCAAAGCTGAGTACGTGACAAAGAAACAAGCTCCTACTCCTCTGGCCCTGGTCCCTGAGACTCAGAGGCCTTGCGAAGAATCCCCATTTTCCTAGAGTGTGCACAGGCACAGAGGCCTGCCTGCTCCTGAATTGGCCCCACTCTCCTGTGATTAGGAATGTTTGCTCAGCACACCTAGGGGGACCCCGTTCTTTCTCCTTTCCCCAAACCACAGTGAAATCCCCAAATGCTTAAAGGTTCATCCAGACCTGATGCCATTATTAGCTGAGCTATTCTAAAGCTGAGTCCCATACCCAGGGCTATATTAGAAAAGAAATGGGACCAAGAGGCAGACTTGCAAGTTCTAGTCCTGGCCCTTCCAGTTGCTACTTGCCTAGCCATATGCAATCACTTTGCTTTGCTAAGTCTAGGTTTTCTCATCTTACAATGGGTTTATGTACCCGCCCTGTCAATCCACTGAGTTGTGGTGAAGGTTATTTGAGTTGGTGATTGTGAAATAACTTGTTGAGTAGTAAGGGATGCACAAAGGCGAGGTAAGTTGATGTGTTAACAACAATGAGGGCCAGGCCTAAGAAGAGGGAAAGGAAAAGATATTTGCCTTGACATTTCTTACTACCCACCTTCTGGTCATTTTCATATGTGCCCATATATGCCATATAACTAGTATTTTCACCAATGCCCATATATACCATCCTATCTAATAAAAGAGAAACATGGTAATTGGCGTACGACCGCTACCCTTCTCATTGGCTAATCAGTGAGATATGCAAATTAACTGCCAGCCAAGATGGCGGCCGGCAGCCAGGCAGCTTGAAACTAACATGAGGCTTGCTTACTTCAGTGACGGAGGAGACCAACGCTCCCCGCCTACTTTGCCGGCCTCTAAGCCTGCAGTTTAAGAAACATTGTAATGAATATAGAAGCTAAACAAAATCCCAGAAACCTGCTTTCAGCAAGGCTGGGATCTTAGAGCTGGAGTTATACAGTGTTTCGACTATAGAACCGAAACAAACCAGATACCTTCTTTCAGCAGCAGAAGCCTCAGAGCTGGAGCCAGAGCTAAAGCTGGCCCAGAATTTAAAAAAAAGAAGAAAAAAAGGAGCAGTTGGGAGCTTCAGTCAGCCTGAAAACAGCCCTCAGCCCCTCACCCAGACTGGCCAGGCACCCCAGTGGGGACCCCCACCCTGAAGGGTGTGTGACCAGCTGCAAACAGCCATCATCCCCTCACCCAGGCTGGCCAGGCACCCCAGTGGGGACCCCCACCCTGATCCAGGACACCCTTCAGGGCAAACCAGCCAGCCCCCACCCTTGCACCAGGCCTCTACCCTATATAGTAAAAGGGTAATATGCCTCCCAGCACCGGGATCAGCCGAGCCGCAAGGCTTCCTGGCACTGGGATCAGTGTGACAGGGGGCAGCACCCAAACCCCCTGATCGCCCTGCGGCTCTGTGTGTGACAGGGGGCGGGGCCACAACCTCCATATCCGCCCTGCTCTGTTCGTGACAGGAAGGCGCCCCAACCCCCTGATTGGCCCTGCTCTGTGCCTGATAGGGGGGAGCTCCCCAATCCCCTGATCGCCCTGCGGCTCTGTGTGTGACAGGGTGCGGTGCCCCAACCCCCCCACCCCACGGGCCCTGCTCTGTGTGACGGGGTAGAACCATAACCTCCCCATCGGCCCTGCCCTGACTGTGACAGTGGCGGCGCCCCAAACCCCTGATCGGCCCTGCTCTGTGAGTGATAGATGGCGGTGCCCCAACCCCCTGATCCGCCCTGCTCTGTGTGTGACAGGGGGCGGTGCCCCAACTCCCCTATCAGCCCTACTCTGTGAGTGACAGGGGAGCTCCTCAACCCCCTGATGGGCCCTGCTCTGTGCGTGACAGGGGGGAGCTCCCCAACCCCCTGATTGACCCTGCTCTGTGCGTGACAGGGTATGGAGCCCCACCCCCTTGATGGGCCCTGCTCTGTGCGTGACAGGGGGCAGCGCCCCAACTCCCCAATCGGCCCTGCTCTGAGCCCTACCAGGGGCTGCACCTAGGGATTAGGCCTGCCCTCTGCCACCCAGGAGCAGGCCTAAGCCAGCAGGTCATTATCTCCCAAGGGGTCCCAGACTGCGAGAGGGCACAGGCCGGGCTGAGGGATGCCCCCCCTCCCCACCGAGTGCACAAATTTTTGTGCACCAGGCCTCTAGTCTAATAAAAGTTGGACATGTAAATTACTGACCACATTAATATACATTCATTTAATGTATTACCTTCCTAGGACATTTAAATTTTAAATGAATGGAAGGAGGAAAATGCAAGGAGGGAATTGATAATGCAGAAATTCGGGTACAGTGAGACCTGTGTGAATGGTAATATATGGGACAGGGAGGACTCCCTTACACCTCTCAGATCATCCTACATGGTCCCCTTGGCTCAATCATCAGAGAAGGGAAGTGCCTATGTGGTCAGTGCTCTAGAGCCTCAAACTTTATGCCATGCCTCTTTCTCATGCTACAGAGAAAGGGCAGTTGAGAAAGTTAGGGGGAAGCCTGGACCTATGGGCAGGTGGACCATTAAGGGGTTTTGCCTGTGTGTCCCAAATGGCCTTCCAAGTGAGGATGAGGCATCAATGGATTATTATAGCATGGTGGCCTCTTCTAGAAAGCTGTCAGCTACTTCTGGCCTCCAAGATTGCCCAGAGTGAAAGAGAGATGAATGTCCCACAGAGTGACAGACCCAGAGATGTCTCTGTCCCTACGTGCCTCCAGCTGACATTGTGTGAGCCTCTCTTTCCCCTTGCCTCCCATTCTGATTTTTTTAAAAAAATATATTTTATTCATTTTTTACAGAGTGGAAGGGAGAGGGATAGAGAGTTAGAAACATCTATGAGAGAGAAACATCGATCAGCTGCCTCCTGCACACCCCTTACAGGGGATGTGCCCGCAACCAAGGTACATGCCCTTGACCAGAATCAAACCTGGGACCCTTGAGTCTGCAGGCTGACTCTATCCACTGAGCCAAACCGGTTAGGACCCCATTCTGATTTTTAAGGAGAGCTATAGCCTCTACTACAAAGAACCACATATGCAGGCTCATGGTGAACTTCCTGGGACAGCAATACAGCCTGGAGGATGTGAATGTGACCTTCAAGAATTACAAAACCTGGAAAAAAAGGTACTTGCCTTCCTTGAAGAAGTTGGTTTTCTTTTTTTTTCTTTCTTTCTTTCTTTTTTTGTTTTTTTAATATATTTTATTGATTTTTTACAGAGAGGAAAGGAGAGGGATAGAGAGTCAGAAACATCGATGAGAGAGAAACATCGATGAGCTGCCTTCTGCACACCTCCTACTGGGGATGTGCCCGCAACCCAGGTACATGCCCTTGACCAGAATCGAACCTGGGACCCTTCAGTCCGCAGGCCAACGCTCTATCCACTGAGCCAAACCGGTTTCGGCAAAGAAGTTGGTTTTCTAAATCTCTCTAAGAAGTTGGACTTTATTAGATCTTTTGAAGCAAGGAGACAAATAAGTGCATATTTTCTCCAGCACATGGGGTTACCCAGACTTGAATCTTAATCTAGCAAAGCTTGGACCCCAAGGGTCTTCATCTCCTGTGCTCATCCTCTGTTCCGGGAGAAGGCTGGCAAGCGTGGCCCTGCATTGATGTTGTGGTGCCCATTTTCCACTATCTGCTCCTCAGCAACGTGGCCCCCACCTCCTCCCCAGAACGCTTTCTCCTCCTCCCAGAGGGCATTCTCCTCCTCCCAGAGGGACTTTTTGTCCTCCCACAGGGCCTTCTCCTCTTCAAGAAGAGCTCTCTCCTCTACCCACAGAGCCTTTTCCTCCTCCCACAGCGCCCTGTCCTCCTGGAGGAGATTCTGGTCTCTTTCCCATAAAGCATTGTCCTCTTTCCAGAAAGCCTTATCTTCCTTCCAGAAGATACGGTACTTTTTCCAAAAGGTTTTCTCTTCTTCCCGGAAGGATTTTTCCATTTCCCAGAAGGCTTTTTCCTCTTCCCAGAAGGTTTTCTCTTCTTCCCAGAAAGGTCTCTCTTCTTCCCAAAAGCCCAAGATCTGGCCCTGGAAAGCACGGATCTTGCCTTGGAAATTCCACATCTCTTCCCTGAAGTCTTCTATTTTCTCACGGAAAATTTTTATCTCTTCCCGAAAAGCCTTTTCTTTCTGTAGCTTATGAATTAGTTTCTTCTGACGAATGTTGGGCAAGGACACCACCAGTGACCGGAAACAAGCAAGCCCCATCCATCTACACACCTTGAAGAGAAACATCTTCCTACTCAGCCAGAATGGTGGGTTGGCCATGATGGATCGCAGGCCATTGGCCAAGTCCAGGTCAGCTGGTCAAACCCTGTGGGGGCACCAGAAAGAACATGTTCATGAGTATCACATTCCAGAGGACAAGCCGTTGGGTCTGAACCATTTGCTCTGGGAAAAGTCAACCATTTCTTTCTGTGCCCCCTTTGGTATAAAAACATGCTTGGTTGTCATGAATTTGGGCTGAAGAGGTTGTCAATATATTCAAGCTCCAGGCTGCTAAAAATCATAGCATCTCAGTCAACAAGGACAGTGGTTCTCAACAAGGAAAGGAAAGAAAAGGAAAGGAAAGGAAAGGAAAGAGAAGGGAAGGGAAGGGAAGGGAAGGGAAGGGAAAAAGGAAAGGAAAGGAAAGGAAAGGAAAGGAAAGGAAAGGAAAGGAAAGGAAAGGAAAGGAAAGGAAAGGAAAGGAAAGGAAAGGAAAGAAGGGAAAGATTGAAAGATCTCCAAACATTGCCATATATCTGACAGATCAGATATCAGGACTACCCCCAAAATTCAGATATCTACAAAGGTGGGTCAAGGGATGAGAAAAAGGACTGAACATAAGAAAGTGATCAGAGTACCGGGGAGAGAAAGGGTGCATACACATGGTAAGCACATTCATTTCCATTTTGAACTTCCTGGAAGCAGCTGCCAGGGTCTGGCCCCACTCTGCAGGCCTCACCAAGCACCACACTGTGGAGCAACAGGCCTCCCTTCAGGAGGTTACTGGGGTTTCTCCTTTTTCTATTTTCTGACTTAGGAGCAGGGAGTAGCAGAGAAGGAAGAACACATAGCTGGTGTGTGTGTGTGTTTGCGCGCGTGCGTGTGTGTGTGTGTGTGAGTGAGTGTGTGTGTGAGTGTGTGTGTGAGTGTGTGAGTGTGTGTGTGTGGTGGAGAGATGATGACTACACTATGGGCAGCTGGTGGCACTATCATCCATCCAATCATATACGCCAGAACCTGGAGCTCATCCTTGACATCTTCCTCTCCCTTATCAGACTTTTAATTAATTATCCAGCCCTGCCAATTAAGATCCCTAACAATTCTTGAAACCACACCCCCTCCTCCATCCCCTTGACCACAGTCAGTTCAGGTCAGGATTCTGTAGCAGCCTGACTGGTCTCTCTGGTATTGATTTTACCCTCCCATCCTCCCCAACACTGTAGCCCAGAGGTGCTTCTAAACATTGTCCCATCACATTACAGCTGCTCACAAACCTTCTAAAACCCCATAGCCCAAATATCAAATGCCTTAGTAGACCCTCTGCAACCTGATTCCCGATTGTCTCTCTTTTCCTACCCAGCTCCAGATCTAAGATTCAGTAATAATGAGCTACATTCAGCTCTCTGGATGTAACCCACGGTTTCCTGTCTCCACACCAGGGCACGTGCTATGTCCTCTGTAGGGATGACCTTTTCCTCTCATTATGAGCTTGAGTTCCTGCTTTTCCTTTCCCTCTGAAAGCTACCTGGGCCCTCCAAAGTTCACCACCACCCCCTCAATGCTACCTGTGTCTACACACACACACACACACACACACACACACACACACTTGCATTTGTATCAAGCACTGGACCTATTGATAACAACAATTTTTAGCAACTTGGTCACTACTTTTGAATGAAACTCTCTCTCATACAACCCTATTGCTGAAGAAAAATATACAGAGAACCACACTAAAAAGCCAATTTTAAAACATTGAAAGTTATTACAAAGAAATAACTATATATTTTCAAAAAATGAAAGATTTACAAGAGTCCCTGTACATGTGTGAGCCCTGTCCATCTCCAATTTGCAAAGGAAACATTTGTGCATGTTTCTGATTTTCTTCTGAAGTATTTCCTGGACATGTCCCAACACTGAAAGTAATCACCTTCAAATTACACTAAAGCTTTCGTACTCCGTGAGCAATGTTTGCACAACCTAGAGAACTCGCTGAAACTTCAAGTTTCATAAATTCCTTTTTCCTTTTTGTCATAGACACCAACGATTGCCCTATTCTACACTTCACACTGTCCACTGTATCCCAAGCTGTTATGTTCAGGCTCTCTTTATGGCCTCACCCCATCTGCAGGTCTAGCACCAGCCACTGCTCTTACTGGGCTTTCCATTTAGGGCTGCTCTCTACAAAGAATAGAGTGGCTGCATTGATGATGAGGAGGAGAGAACCACAGAACTCAGTGGGGAAGTCATTTGGGGACAGCTGTCACTTGAGAATAGAAAAAACTATGAATTGTAAGTCAGTGAGCACTAAGGGATCACTCTAAATGATTTTCCTCCTGAAACTAACACCCTACATGGGCAACAGTGGGAGAAATCTACTTATGGCACTTGTTGAATAAATGTGTGATAGAAATGTAAGTTAAATTCTCAGGTACTCTCCCTTGTTCTTAGAGGATCTGGATTTCTATTTGTGGAGAAAACAGAGGCCCATGGCTATTTCCCGTCCCCCAGCTTCTAGTTCACCCTCGTGGCATCCACATCCATTTTTATTTTTATTTTTTAAATATATTTTATTGATTTTTTCACAGAGAGGAAAGGAGAGGGATAGAGAGTTAGAAACATCGATGAGAGAGAAACATCAATCAGCTGCCTCCTGCACACTCCCTACTGGGTATGTGCCCGCAACCAAGGTACATGCCCTTGACTGGAATCGAACCTGGGACCCTTGAGTCCGCAGGCTGACGCTCTATCTGCTGAGCCAAACCGGTTAAGGCCACATCCATTTTTAATGCCCTCTTCTAGGTTCCTTGGCCAGGCCAGATCTCTCTGTCTCTCTCTGTCTCTGTCTCTGTCTCTGTCTCTGTCTATCTCTCTTCATTCTGGCCTCTCAGCACAAGTGTCTCTTTTCTTAAAAACAACCAACCAACCAACCAGTAACAGTCTCTAACTTTCTCTACCTATTTGCCCTTTCCTTCTTGAACAGTCTATCAAAGAGCAATTGATGGTCACTGTTACCATTTTGAATTGCATTTGCACCCACATCCTATAGCAATCTGTCCTTTGCCTCCTTGTTCCACTGAAATTGTTCTTGTTAAGATCAGCAGTGACCTGCTAGTTGTTTAGTTTTCATCCTCAGTGACCTCTTGGCAGCATTTGACAATATTTGACATGAATCCTTTTTGAAATCCCTTCCCCTTTGACTTGTATAACACCAGGCTATCCTGTCCTCCTCCTACCTCCCTGACTGCTCTTTCTGTCTGTCTGTGGACTCCTTTCCCACCAGAATATACTTTATCCAGTGAAAAAATTGGATAGGTTGAGTGCCTAGCACAGTGCCTGGCACATAGTAAGTGCTCAACCAATAGAAAATAAGAAATATTATAATTGCTATTTTGTGTCATTTTAAATCTTAAGGTGGCATGCCAGAACAATTATCTGCCCCTACAAACCAGGTTAGCCTTATATTTCAGCCACCACGCCTGAAATTCCTCAAGCATGAAAGTTTTCCTCACTTCCATTTCATGCTGTTCTCAATGGATAGATTTGCCTAAATCCACTTCACATCACCTAGCTAAGACTCAGATAAGGAGCAACATTTTCTAGATAGCCTCTCCCACTCTTCCCCAAGTTCATACTTCTCCTGCCCCATTAGGGACACTCTATGCCCAGCATCTAGCACAATATCTGGCACATAATAGGTGTTCAGTAAATGTCAGCTGAACAAATGGCAGTCTCCTGGGTTAGAATGTCAGAAAAAAATTCATCTCTAAGTTTTTCTCATTACCACTGAAATTATCTTTGAGAAGGAGATAAAAATAAGAACAATATAAAATCTGTAGTTGTGTATTTATATATAAAGTACAATATAAAATGGTAAATTTGTATCTATATATATCTAAAATCAAGAATAAAAAAACCCATTAATCTCCAATATTATACTTCAAAAATAGGAACTTATTTTAAGGAAAATGTTATATGTTATTCTATTCTTAGAACCAATATTCAATCTAAAGCCAACAGTTACTTACTGCTTAGCTGTTTGCCAACTGGGCAAGTCCTGTAGCCCTCAGAGGGCAGGCAGTCATTGTTGTGTCAGATCCTTAGTGATGTCGTTTTCACAGACTCCCCTAGCAATGTTTGCAAGGATCCCTCTGTCCCCTCTCAGTCTTGACTCACAGGGTGGAGAGGACCAAGATGGGGTCCCCAGTAAGAGTCTTTAAGGAGTGGAGAGAAAACTAGAAAGTTTGAAAGATTTCTCCATTATCCATCCCAACTTCACCTTTAGGGTAGCACTGATGATGACACGCAAATGATTGTTACATCACCATTCTATCTGGATTGTGACCAGGAACAGACTTCTGGGAAATCATGCTTCAGTGGTAGAAGGAATGAATCACTTCTCATGCTGCTTTCAATATTCCCTCTTTGTCTTTGACAGTTTGACTATTCATTTTTCTTCATTCTTTTCTCTATATGTTGCCTAGATTGGATAATCTCAAGTGACCTGACTTTAAGTACATTGGCCCTTTCTTCTGCCAGTTCAGATCTTCTGTTGAGTTCCTCTATCCTTCATTTTCAACTCGAGGATTTCTAGTTTGTTCCTTTATATTTATACAAATTTTTTTTCTTTTTATTGATTGTCTCTATTTGGTGAGACATAGTTCTCATACTTTCCTTTAATTCTTTAGGTATGGTTTCTTTTAGTTCTTTGATGATATTTATAATAGCTGATTTAAAAATCTTGGTTTGGTAAGTCCAGCACCTGTAATCCTTTAGGGACAGTTTCTAACCAAAAAGGGAACAACTCAGAATAATAGTTTCTATTGACTGCTATTTACCCCAGTGTATAGGCCATTATTTCTTTTTTATTTCTTGTCACATAAAGTTTTTCTTGACATTGGACACTAAAATAATATAATTTTAAACCATATAGTATTAAATACAACAATTATCTTATATAATAAAATGCTAATATGCAAATAAACCGAATGGGTTAATGACTGGTTGCTATGATGCACACTGACCACCAGGGGGGCAGATGCTCAACGCAGGAGCTGCCC